TTTATTTATCGTTTAGAATATCAATTTGAGTAATAAAATATTATTTTAAAAGTTTACAAATAAAAAAGTGTACTTATTTTATATTTGAAAAAAATCGATAATACAAAAAAATTGTACAAAATCCCAAGAGTGGATAGGAGCTGCCTGTAAAATTAAATGTGGTTTCATGATACAGCTGGAGAGAAGATATATGGTAGTGGGACAGGGCATATAGTAATTTGAAGCGAAATGTGGACCATAATCATATTGGATCAAAATTGGTTGACTTTTTGTGTGATGAAACATAAGGGCATGTACGCCACGTGTAAGTGGTGATGATCTGGGACCCTTGCCTTGAGTCCTTTTAGATTCTGAAACATCAACGCGTAGGGATGAAGATGATGGAGCGTATGATTGCAGTTACGCACACCTTAATTTCATTATTATAAATTTTTGGGTCCCTCCCCTCATGTAAACTTCTAGCTCTCACATATCAACAAATTTATAGGTTTCTGAACTGTGATTATTCCTTAACCATTAATAAACAAACAATTACAATTATTTGGTTGATAATTACAATTACAAATTTAAATATAATTAGATCCCATATATTATTTGGTTGATAAATGATTTAATTTTACGTATCTATAGTATTAAGATTTTTTATTTCATATTATTGTTAATATTAATAAATAATTAATGGACATGATAACAAATTTGTAAAACCAATGTATTACTCAAGAGATCGTGAGTTTGAATCTCTCCTCAGTTGTGAACAAGGGTAGCCACTGGAGCTCTTACCTGACCTGTAGTTCCAGGGTTTCGAATAATTAATTGAGGTGTACGTAAGCTGGTCCAGACACTTTTAATCATAAAAAAATTATTTAATTTGTATAATATTTGGATGAATTTTGCCGGTGCAGGATGCAGCACTTGGAAGTAAAATAAATTATAAATTATTAAGAAAGATTGAATTCAATATTAAATTACCATATAGATAGTCAAAAACATTAAAAATTATAGCAGGGAGTAGTAATTAATCTACCAAATTTCTTATCCAAATGAATTTTAACAGTTGCCCACATAAAGACGCAATGATATCATTTCCATAAATGTCTTACATTACCTGCCTAAATTTGTTGCAGTAATAAAACTAGGAATTCCAGCCATTCATTGTGTTATATTAAGCTTAAACTTACTCACCAAACTCTATACCAATTTTAACTTGGATCAATAAATAACAATAACTTATCCCTGATTCTTAGAATTGAGTTGGTACTACCCATAATTCATCGGAATTTCATATCAACCCTAATTAAATTTACCAACTAACAACATTGAAACTATGTTTTGTTTTTATTGTTGCAGAAGTTAGCAGTAGCTGTTGTCATAACAAATTCTGAAAGTGACTTAAACTGAAACAGCTAGCAATATCAGATTAAACCTTGGAAATACTTTTATTGTCAAATTCAATGTTTCGAAAACTGGACCGAACTATGACCCGTTCAAGGATCCGGTTTTTGGTTTGACCGTTGAATCGATTGGTTGGACCATATTCTGTAAAATTACTTTTAGTCTATAAATGTTTAAAATTCATCAAAAACACCCCTCTAATACTCCCTTAAGGTTTGAAATCTGTCCAAAACACCCTTGTCGCGTGAAGAGACTGGTGATGGTGGCGGTAGTGACGATCGACGACCAATCAAGGTTTGGAATCATGGGGCTTTTGATGTGTAGGTGCCGGCAAATCTGATGGTGGTGCTAGGGAGTTCCATCGGCGTCGAAACTCACTGGAATCAAGAAAGAAGTCTGACTGTCGCGTGAACTTTAGGTGGATGGCGAGCGACGAAGGCTGGACGACGGCCACTAAAAATGGCTGGGTTTTGTCATGGAGATGCCGTCAAGTCTAATGGTGGTGTTTTCTCTCTCGAACGATGCCGGAATCCGGCGAGATTGAGCTACGATTGGACCGCGATTCGGCACTATTTCGGCGGTCCAACCACGGTCTAATCCGGTTTGAATGAAATTAACGGTTTTCAAATGATACTGGACCAGATATGCCATCGGTTACCGATCCGACTAGACGGTCTGGTTTTTAGAACATTGTTCAAATTATAATCGTTACTGTTACTGGCCCACCGTCTCCATTTTTCATCTCTTATATCTCTTATTATTATTATTTTTTTTAATGATCGAGGTGTTCGGGCTAGTCTACACACACTGCAACTAATTCCTATTATCCAAAACCCTAGAACTATCAATCGGGTAAAAGCTCCAGTGACTATCCTATTAGCAACTGAGAAGAGACTCGAACTTAAGATCTTTTGAGTAATACACTTAAAAGTCACTTTCGAACCACATAGCCACAAAGAGATAGTTTCTTATATCTATTATTTCTTCGAGTATTTCTCTGTTTTTTGGACTTGTTAAAATGTATTTGATGTTGTATATTTATTAAAAAAATATTTGTATTACAAGCGTAACATTATCCAATACCAATACCTTACCAAATTCAAATATAATATACATAAGAAACATTAGCTCTAAGACTTTGTATTAAATTTTATAAACTCAGATTATGCATAGAAAACTCACATTTCCCAATTGATAATATTATATGGTTAGGTGGATATAGTTTAAGATAAAACTAAGATAACTGTTTATGTCTTAACCGATATCTTTTTATATTGATATACTTTATATCAATAAAATGATCTCTATCATTGATTAAAAAAAAAAAAAATCGTTCTTAGCTACACCAAAATTTACCTACATTTCATACATAACAATAAATTTAGATGGATTAGATTTTTTTTTATTTATTCAAATTGTAATATTAATTTTGGGCCATTAATTCACAGTTTTTTAAATGATTTACAATAATGTAATTTGTTTCATTTTCAAAGTTTTAATGATTAATATTAGATTTATAATCTATTCTCATATACTTTCTCTTACAATTTCAATATGGTAACTTGATCCGCCAACAAATAAGTTTCATATGCTAGCTGTGGATTTCACCTGTCTATCTATAAACCGACTAATTATTTATATCAACAATATTAGTCTTACAAAAAAATCTATAAAAGAGACATACAAAAATAATTTTTATCTTTTATCTTTATCATTTCTCTCTCTCTCTCTTTCTCTTTTTCCATTTTTCCTTTGTTTTTTTTCTTTATTTTGTAAGTTTTTTGTAGGATTCTTTGCAAGATAGACTTATTCTATTTATGTTTATCCGGATTTTATATATAACTAAAAGATATAGTTGCGTGACATTACGTGAGATAAATACATCGAATCTAGTTGTTGTGATATGCCACGTGTACGGTCGCTGGAGGTTGTGTGGTTCAAGTTTCCATCAGTATCAATACGGCTTTATGTCACATTGTACGTACTTTGATATATACAGTTAATAAATAAATAAATAGTGAAATTATAGTAGTGGAATCTAATTATAACTGAGTTTGGAAACTTTTTTAATCACTTGTTCCAGATACTTATGGTGCATGGAGGTGTAGTATACAAGATTCCTGAAGGGACGTATTTTTTTTATTCTTTAATTTTTACAAAAGTTAATTTTTACGTAACTTTTGTAAAAATTGAACATAAATATAAGATTTTACCAAGGAAGAAGAACTCATGATACTACTAGTGCAAAAAGCCCACTTACTAAAAAGAGTAAACGATTTTTTTTTTCCCACCCAAGGTTTACCTTAATGGCATTTTTTCATTAAAAAAGTTTTAAAATATCACTTTTCTACCTAAATTTTATATTTCGTCAATATCTAAAATACATTTTATTTTCTCAGTCAGTGTTCGGTAAGTTAACAAGAGTCAAGATAAGAGGAGTTTTGTAGAGTGGAGATGAATAAATTGAATGACGGTGATCGATAAAATATTTACCGCTAAAATAAGCTAGAAATTAGCTAAACTGAACACTCTAGTTTTGCAATGACCTCTAATCGACGAGAAATCAAGTCCTAATGTGAGAGAGTTTTTGTAGAGAAGAGACCTAAGTTCAAATGGGTTGTAACGAAATATTAACTTTGGATGAAAAATTGGTATTTTGAAACTTTTTGGATGAGAAATGTTATTAAGGCAAACCTCTTGTGGGAAAAAAAGTCGTTCACTCTTACCAAAAGCCACAAAATCAAAAGGCTATAATAAAAAGGCCATTGCCATCTTTATTAAACTTGACAATATTTTTCAGTACAAAAGCTTGCTAAAAACAATAAACATATTTTTCACTTTTAAACGTCTCAGAAAGCATTAACTCATGTACTTTTGCAAAACTTAAATTCTCAAAACAAAATCTATATACTATTAATTTCAGCTACCTTATTTCTTAGAACATACTTATACCAACGTTATAATTTCGGTTAATGTTTGGTAGACAATTTACTATAATAATAATAATGTTGAAGATAATTATCGCCAAACCAAAATCTCTGTCCCTCCCTGCAGCTACTAATTCGGTCAACGTTTGAACCCCGACTACCAAAATTGACCATCTCCTTTTTAAATTTTCTCTTTATGGCGCAAGAGCTTCGTGATTCAAAAACATATAACCGTCATCTTTATGCACGCAAAAACACTCCCTCACGCGTGACCCGAGTCAAGCGTGGTAAGTGTGATAAGCCATTCTTGTGTATTGTGTTCACAAAACACAATTTTACTGCTGTCTCAATGTCATAAATTACTTCCACACAACATCAACACCGTCTGATTTCTTTTCCTTGTCTTCAATTCCATGATAGATAAGACCGACGTGATTGTCCATCTTTTTACCTTTTTGTACATTGGTCATTGGATATAAAAGCCCATTCTAGTAAATGAATAATTACTAGCAGAATGATTGTTGGATCATAATAGCAATAGATGAGCATGACCACATATTAACATTACTCCACATTATCCCTGTCTCTATCTCTCTCTCTCTCTTTCACACGTCATTTTCTCTTTCTAATAGCAACACTCTCCTTCTTCTTCTTCGTCTTCAAATACGTTCACATCAACACTCACACAACACTCCTCACACTTTCCTTCACCACCACCAACACAACAATGAACTTTCTTCTTCTCATTCTCTTCCTGCTTTCTCCTTTAGCTGTACTTTCTCTTAACCAAGAAGGCCTCTACCTTCAGCATGTCAAGCTCGGGCTTTCCGACCCGGACTCCTCCCTTTCCTCCTGGGAAAACTCACGTGATGACACTCCCTGTTTGTGGCTTGGTGTCACCTGCGACTCTCGCACTCACTTTGTCACCTCCATTGATCTTTCCAGCGCCAACATTGCTGGTCCTTTTCCTTCTCTCTTATGCCGCCTTCAGAACCTCACTTTCCTTTCACTCTACAACAACTCCATCAACGACACTCTTCCTGATGACATCTCTGCGTGTCAAAGTCTTGAGCACCTTGACCTTGCCCAGAATTTACTCACGGGTACACTTCCTCACACTTTAGCTCACCTTCCTAACCTGAAATATCTGGATTTAACGGGAAACAATTTCTCTGGAGAAATTCCTGAAAGTTTCGGCAGCTTTCAAAAACTCGAGGTTATTTCTCTTGTCTACAACCTTATGGATGGGACCATCCCGCCATTTTTGGGAAATATTACTTCTCTTAAAATGTTGAATTTGTCTTACAACCCGTTTTTGCCGAGTCGGATTCCGCCGGAGCTTGGTAATCTAACGAATTTGGAGATTCTTTGGCTTACTGAGTGCAATTTAGTGGGTGAGATTCCTGACTCACTGGGTCGACTCAGTAAACTCGTTGATTTGGACCTGGCGCTAAACAATCTAGTTGGTAACATCCCGAGTTCACTCACTGAGTTGACCAGCTTAGTTCAAATTGAGCTGTACAACAACTCATTGACCGGAAACTTACCGGCGGGATGGTCTAAATTGAACCATCTGAGACTCCTCGACGCCTCAATGAACGACTTGACTGGGCCAATTCCTGACGAGTTGGCTCGGTTACCGCTCGAAAGCCTCAATCTTTACGAGAATCGGTTCGAAGGGAACTTGCCGGCAAGTATCGCTGACTCACCGAATTTGTACGAACTCAGACTGTTCCGAAATCAATTCACTGGCGACTTACCCCGAGATCTCGGCAAAAAATCACCGCTCAAATGGCTGGACGTGTCGAGCAACCAATTTACCGGCGAAATACCAGCGGGTTTATGCGAAAAAGGCGAGCTAGAAGAGTTGTTAATGATATATAACAAATTCTCCGGTCAAATACCGGAAAGTTTAGGTGAATGCCGGAGCTTGACACGTATCCGGCTAGGTTCCAACCGATTATCCGGTGAGGTGCCTCCGCATTTCTGGGGACTTCCCCACGTCTACTTGCTTGAGCTCTCTGACAATTCTTTCTCTGGAGAAATTTCTAAAACGATTGCTGGAGCAGCCAATCTCTCGCTTTTGATTATAAACAAGAATAATTTTAGTGGATCATTGCCTGAAGAGATTGGTTTCTTGAAAAATCTTCTCGTGATTTCTGGTAGTGAGAATAAGTTTAGTGGGCCCCTGCCAGAGAGTTTTACAAATCTTGGTGAGTTAGGAACTCTTGAGCTTGATAGTAATGTTTTATCAGGTGAGTTACCGAGTAGGGTTCATTCATGGAAGAAATTAAATGAGCTTAATTTGGCGAATAATGAGTTTAAAGGGAAGATTCCTGATGATATTGGAAGTTTGTCTGTGTTAAATTATCTTGATTTGTCCAATAATCGTCTTTCCGGGAAGATCCCTGTTGGCTTACAGAATTTGAAGCTAAATCAGCTTAATCTTTCCAATAATAGGCTTTCCGGCGAGCTTCCACCGATGTTTGCTAAAGATACATATAGGAATAGCTTCCTTGGTAATCCTGGTTTGTGTGGTGATTTGGAGGGTTTGTGTGATGGTAGCGGTGAGGAAAAGAATAGAGGTTATGTTTGGTTGCTGAGGTCTATTTTTATACTTGCTGCCTTAGTGTTTGTTTTCGGTATAGTTTGGTTTTACTTGAAGTACAGGAGATTCAAGAATGCAAGAGCTATTGATAAGTCAAAATGGACGTTGATGTCGTTCCATAAACTGGGTTTCAGTGAGTATGAGATCTTAGATGGGCTTGATGAAGATAATGTGATAGGAACTGGATCTTCTGGGAAAGTGTATAAGGTTGTGCTTAGCAATGGAGAGGCTGTTGCCGTGAAGAAGCTCTGGGGAGGAGTTAGAAAAGAGTGTGAAAGTGGTGGTGATATTGAGAAAGGCCAGGCTCAAGGTCAAGTTCAAGAAGATGGGTTTCAAGCTGAGGTTGAGACTTTGGGGAAGATTAGGCACAAGAACATTGTTAAGCTCTGGTGCTGTTGTACAACCAGGGATTGTAAGCTTTTGGTCTATGAGTACATGCCAAATGGTAGCTTGGGTGATTTGCTGCATAGTAGTAAGGGAGGATTGTTGGATTGGCCAACAAGGTACAAGATACTTGTTGATGCAGCTGAGGGACTTTCCTATTTGCACCATGACTGTGTTCCTTCAATCGTGCATAGAGATGTTAAGTCTAACAATATCTTGTTGGATGGGGACTTTGGTGCCCGAGTGGCTGATTTTGGTGTAGCCAAGGTGGTTGATTCAAGTGGAAAGCCCAAATCAATGTCTGTCATTGCTGGTTCTTGTGGTTACATTGCACCAGGTTAGTGAGTGAATATCTGGGTTACATATTTTGATCTTCATATCTTGAATTGGAATTTGCATCATTATTTTAGATATATTCTGTATTCTAATGTTTTTTAAAATGCTTATCAGTAATTACCTAATTATGTTTGTGATAGACATCTGCCACTTGTTCTGATGCAAAAATTCTGTCAGTTCGATTTGCTAAAACTGTTAATATGCAATGGATAATTTGCACAATCTATTCCCATGTATGTTTGCTTTTGCAGCGATCATATACTATCTTTAGGCTTTTATTTTCTATAAACCAACGAGATTTTCTTTTTCCAAATGTGCTATGCTTCTTGCAAACTTGCAAACTATGTTGTTCGGAGTTTCTGAGTTAAATTCGTAGTGATTCCTTCTGTGTAAATCTGTTGCAGAGTATGCCTACACACTTCGGGTGAATGAGAAGAGTGACATATACAGTTTTGGAGTAGTCATTCTTGAGTTAGTCACAGGGAAAAGACCCGTTGATCCAGAGTTTGGGGAGAAGGATTTGGTTAAGTGGGTCTGCACCACTTTGGATCAGAAAGGAGTGGAGCACGTTCTTGATCCCAAACTTGACTCCTGTTTTAAGGAGGAATTATGCAAGATCCTCAACATTGGACTACTTTGCACTAGCCCGCTGCCCATCAACCGCCCAGCAATGAGGAGGGTGGTGAAGATGCTGCAAGAAGTGGGCGGAGACAGCCAGCCCAAAACTGCTAAAAAAGATGGGAAATTTTCACCTTATTATTATGAAGATGCCTCAGATCAGGGAAGTGTAGCTTGAGAACTTTTTTCTGTAGGTTTTGTTTGAAAAGCATGGTTGTTTTAGGAGTCACATAAACTCCTAGCTTGTTTTTTGGTTCTTAAGCTAACTTCCAAATTTTCATTCCCACTTGGATTTGCTTTACGGGGTGTGGAGGAAACGGAGAAAGAAGAAAACAAAATGGGGAATGGTTAAGGTGTTGATGTACACTGTAAAGTTCTTAAACCCTGATGAGGATATTTGCATTGGAAGTGATGTTTACAGAGTTTTTAGTGATGGTGGTCTGTCTCTGGCAATACCAGGTGCATGTTGACAACTGCAAACCATGGCCTTAATTAGCAAGTCTACTATAGTAAAATTACTACTACCTTTATTAAATAGATATGAATGAGAAGTCTCCAGTGCAATCCTAAAATGATACCTGTGCTGTGCAGCTTTGGTGTGATTTTCCAGGGCCTCCAGGCTATATGCTTTTGACTCAACTCTCTGCTGTGAGATTTGCACTGTAGTCACGCACTGCCCAATCGCTGGGATGTCTATTACTCAGTTATTGAGGTATTTAAGTAGGGTTGGTCCTCTGGGCCCTTCTCATTACTGTGAAAGACGCATCTCTTTTGTTGCTGGTCCCTATTATATATGCATTCTTATTTTTGGAAAACGACAAGTTTTTGTTTTAGTAAATTAGAGCAGACGGGGCCGCCTTTGCTTTTTGAAATTGTTATTTGGGTTTTTAATTTAGAATAATGCTAGCTTTACTCTCAATCCCCTTACTCATTTTTTTTTTAAAAACGAATAAGAATAACATTTTAATAAATGTGAGGAAAAGAAGTGAATAAGAGTAGTATTACTAATTTCTCTTCATGATATCAAGAAGCTTCAAATACTATTTATTTAAGGCAAATGGAAGCACCAACCAATCTTCACTTTTACTTCAAGTCTATAACTAATTGATTTTTCCAGGAAGCAAATAATAATCACAAAGTGTCTCTACTTCAAGAGCAAATGACATATTTCTACTCGAGGGTTAGCCTTGGTTGTATTTATTTTAGATTCTCATCTTTATTGTAACGTCGTTTCTTTTATTTTAATATATTTTTAACTTTTTATTGTAGTGTGGTGCATGTTAGCATGCTAAAGTGCGCTATAGTTTTATTTGACAGAAAACAAGTTTATTTTAGCAAAAAACAGCTCACGTTAGTTGTGTCAAAATCAACGGTTTTTTGGCTTTTTTTGACTTATTCCAAATTTCAAAATCACTTTCGAGATCACCATTGGACTCCCCACAACCTCTTTTACAAAACCCATACCTTCACTTGCCGACCTCACTCACCGTATCTGACCACTTCTAACAGTCACTAACAATGTTAGTGTAAAGATGAGAATCTGGAATAAATACAACCAAATGTATTAATTTGGGATTTTACTAAAGCCTAGGTGGGAATATGTCGTTTACTCTTATTCAATTGTAAACATAGATATTTTGGGCATTATGTAATGGGGCAAATGTAATGACGTAGCTTAGGAAACCAACCACAACAACCCACCCCCCCAAAACAACATTTAAACCGTAGAGTTGAAGAGGAGTTTGGAGAAATAGACAAGTCACTGCTCCATATTAGTGGCTTAACCAAGTTTCGATTTCCAAGGCCATGCATCATTTATGCATTTGCAAGAGTCACGAGTGAGGCATGTTTGAAGATTCATCTCTTCTCTACTATCAATGAAAGATTTAATTGTTCCTACCAACCACATTTAAACTTGGACATTTTTAACCCTAAAACACAAATACAGCAGAAATATTATCAATTTACACAAGACCCACCAGCAAAATGATTATAAAAAAAATTGCACAAGTTGTAATAGAAACAACACTCACATTCTGCCCCGCAAGAATTCGGTTCTGTTGTAAGAATGTTTTACAAACTTAACGAAGAAAGTGAGAAAATTTTAGTGGTTTAATTAACTGAGAGTTTTTTATTATTATTTTTTTTAATTCATATGCTTAAATATTAAATAATGATTTTTCATTTCATTTTTTATATCGAAGCAACTTTCATTTATCATATACAACATTGATTTAATTATGTCATATCTCTCTTTTTTTTTTTTTTTTAATAATCGGGGGTATTTAGGTCAGTTTATGCGTACTTCAATTAATCTCTCAGGACTCTAAAACTATCGACCTAATAAGAGCACCAATGGTTACCCCTGTTAGCACCTTATGAGGGATTTGAACTTATGAACTCTTGAGTGCCCCTGTTAGCACCTTATGAGGGATTTGAACTTATGACCTCTTGAGTAATACACTCAAGAGTCCTTATCGAACCACTCAGTCACCTAGAGATAGTTTGTGTCAAATCTCTTTATTCACACAATTATTATTCCAAACTTCATATATTTGCTTTGAATTTTCGTAGTTAATTATATACATTTTTTTGTTTGAGTTTGTATCAAGGTAATGCTCGTTATATATATCATTCATGGTAGAGGGCATATCTCTCCTTTTATTTATTTATTTTTAATTAATAATTATATTGTAAGGTTCACCTAAAATATTTTTCTTCTTAATATTTTACTTATTTTTAAATTAATTTTTTTTTAACTTTAGTCTAAGAAAATTTTCTGGCCATGCCCTTGAAACTAGGGTAAAAACAGTAGCAAACCTGAAAACCCATTCATAAAATTGGGATTGGCTATGTCTTGTTGGGCCACAGTAATTGGAGTTGTTTAAGCCCAACCCTTCCGTGGCTCATCAATGGACTAGAAAGTTATTGGGTGTAAAATAGCATTAAACAAGTTGTTTAATTAATTAATAATATCAATCAAGCAGCCACAATGAGAATGGTCTACTGATATATTATGACCCAAGTCAAGCTATTAATGGTCTAAATTTAATAAAAGTGAAAGAGGATCCAAGTCCTTTGTTTATAATAACGTAGCTTAGTTTCATATTGTCTAGTTTCTCTCTCTCTCTCTTTTTGGCAGATTTATGTTATAATCATCCATAATCCACATATCTTTACTATTAATATTTTAATATGTTAACCAATTAAAATTTTATAAGATGAAATAGAAGATGGTTTTCGATGTTTTATTTATTTTGTTTCAGCTCCAACAGGATTTAGATTTTTTTTTTTATGAGAATCCTAAATAAAACTTTAATAATTTGAAAAAAAAGATGATTATATGGGTAGTTTCAGGTAATAATATTTTCACGTACCAATAAATATCATAAAACTAGACGTTTGGATTTCACCTGAAAGAAAATAAATAATGGAATCTCTCCCTTTGTGGACGGATGACAAACTCTTTAGACATTGAGGTTAATTATACTCAAGGAGTTTTGTGCTTGAATTGTAGGAGAAGTACCTATCACATATATGTAATTATTTTGATCTATTAGGTTTGTAGGATGTTCTGTGATCCTGACAATTAGGTAGGCTTTAATGCAGATTTAGATACCTCAAATACCTAAAAAATAAATAAATAAATGACAAATTAGTAGTTGAAGTTTAAGTAAAATGCAGAGCTGTAGAAACTTGTGTGGTGTGGTTGATTCTTTATAGTGTTATTATAGCAACTGAAGATATTCAGTGCTTAAAAAATTGAAGATATCTTAATCAAAGGATCAAGGAATAATTAAAAATTAAAAAAGATAAATTTATATAATTAAAGTGGGTACTGGTGGAATTTACACGGGACGTTGAAAAGTTCTACCAAACTTGGAACAACCTCTTATTTTTTACACATGCATATAGGTAAGCTTGATAGAATTCTACTTTGGTTGTTATAACTAAACAATTATTATATTAATAATTTAAAAGATTATTTCTGATATTTAACATGAATATGTCAATCTTCTTTGGTTTTCTTCGTAAAATACAATCTAGTAGTGGATTGCCCAAATGGAATGCTCAACTTAAACAATAACCTATATATATCTTAACCAATATTTTATGTTCTCATTTTTAATAATTAAATCAATTAACCATATACTTCACATATATTTATCAATAAAGATTGACTCACAATCCAGTTTTATAAACTTTTTTTCACAATCCTGATGTGACAGTTTACAATTGGACGGACGAGATCTATTACGAGCTATTACATCGGAGTTGTGAGAGAAAGTTTGTGAGAATGAGTTGTAAGCGTAGTATTACCCTATATTTATTCGTTTCGCTAGGAAACCTGCTGAATGTTGATGCTGGTATGTTGAAGATTTTAACAAGTAGGGAAAAATTGAAAAATTAGGAATGGATAAAGTTGATGGCTTTCCTTTTATTTTATCTCTTAATCTTAGGCTAGATTTATCTTCATCTTAAGTAATGAATTTATCTTTAGTTAATAGATAGTCTCTTAATTTGGGAATTTTATCACTATCAATACATAGTGTTATGCCTGAAAAAGTAGGGCTGACGCAGAGTCTTGTCAGCACGGGGTGGTCAGAACTTAAGAAGGTTCCACGACCGCTCAGATGCGGCCACGTCGCGTGATGACGTGAGTGGCATACTCCTGCCAGTATAGTGGGTGAACGCCAGGTTGGCGAATGGCTAGAAACCGTCCACGTGTCCAATCCCTACATAAGTTGAGGAAATCATTCGGGCAGGTGAGCAATGGGATGCAGGGAAGGATTTGCACGATACCCACCCCACTTGCAGATTTAGTAATTATTACCTTGATCCATCCCACTATAAATAGAGACATTTTCTCTCATTTGTGGGATTGGCTAATTTCACTCTGGAATAGCATACTTTCTCTCTCTCTCTCTCTCTCTCTCTCTTGTATTCTCTAAGCTGTAACTCAGCTCGCTGAACACGACCTAACTTTACTCATTAATACAATATCAGTAGACGTAGGATTTGCCTTGTGAGCATCTGAACCACTTTAAACATTGTTCTTCACCCTTTATTCAACTAAATACTTCCATAACCACGTGTGACTTCTAAGCCTGTTTAGCATTTCTCACGTGTGAATAGTTGGTGTTAAAATCAAACATCAACAGTTTGACGCTAGAAGGAGGACACTGATTTAATACTTGTTCTTCATCAGGAGAATTTCTGACTAATCGGTCCCACTATAGCAAATGGATCGCGGTTTCGAATCTGAGCGAACCAATTATGGCAATGAAGAGATCCCCTAAGTACAGGAGGACACTTCTCCCAAAGTGCCCCCAGCTCAGCAAAATATCATGGGGGATATCCCGTCAAGCTCACGGCTTGATCCAGCTGTCATGAGTTACTTGGAG